TAACCATTACATATGAAAGATTTGTAGTTAGTCTTATGCGGAACACCAAATTTATTCTTTAAAAACTTGTGGTTAATTAATACCGAGCGATTAAAAGTGGCCAAAAAGTCGCCTGCTTCCCTCTCGCCCGCCAGCGAAACCACAGACAGGTTACGTAACTCTGTCGCCAGAGCACTGCCGTGACGTCATATGAGGAACGATTTTCAGTTAGTTGTATAGAAAGTGTGTAGCACGCTCATCATTTTGATGATTTCTCGACATCAACGGCGACATTATGCGAATTGTTGCTTTGTCGTCAATTGCCCCTAGGGTCGGGCAATGGTGTCACCATGCACAGATTTCCACAGGACCCTGCAGTTCGTGCTAAATGGGTTATGTTTGTGAGTGCGGCTGGTGGCGTTGTTGAAGCCTGAAACGATATCTTACTTGTGTTCAGATCGCTTCACGGAAGTTACAGAATCAAAACTACCTACTAGTTGTAGTAAAATATGTATATGATTGATGACCATAAAGATTTTCCATGACACAACTTGTAACATAACGATTTCTGCCTCAGAAGCGAGGTTGTGGTCGCAGTAACAATAATATTGTAAGTAGTATTATATTGACACCCACCTCGCTTCCACGAGAAATTGTTATGTTATACTATATGTCATGCAAAATCCTATTGGCCATCAATAAAATACATATTTTACTACCAGTAGAAAGTAGTTTTGATTTTGTAACTCGGTGAAAACAAACCTAAATAGCATTTATCCTCAGACTGGCGGATGTTCCCGACAGGGCACCGCCATTTTTGAAAATCGTAAAGTCTGTTAGAATTAATGAGATTATAGTTTGTTTTCATCAAGTTAGAAAATCAAAACTACTTTCTACTCAGAAGTTAAATATGTATTGGAATCATAACCAAACGGATTTTGCATGACACAACTTATAACATAACGATTTCTTCCACGGAAGCGAGGTGGGGGTCAAGTCACAATACTGCCGATAAATTTCTTGCTACGCTCACATGGTTAATGTCCACTCACCAGTATGTAGATACTAGTCAATAATGCGCCTTTACATTTGGTCTTATAATCCTAATTAGTTTATTATCATACTTGTATGCATTTTGAAACTAAACAAAAGCAGACGATCTGCTGATACTTATAGTGAATTTATAACAGAACTGTAATATCTAGACATTTTATAGTTTGCCAATGTGAATCATAATTCGCACACACACACCCTAGTGTTGTCTGTCTCATTACACTTCACGGCTAAAAACAATGATTCTGTTGAATGCTACGACAAATGAATAAAAACAAATTGCAAATATTAAAATTAAAACAGATTAAAGTTATAGGAACAATATCAGGCCATTACCTTGTTCGAGGAAAGTATCCATCAATATCCACAAAACTGTTCCAAATGATGTGTATTTTAACAGTTTAATATACGAAAAAGTGATAAATCTTTTCAGGTATTGGTGTATAGTCTCATTGGTCACCCAAGATAGCACACCTGGCAACTAATTGCATAATGTCCGCCTTTCTTTAAAAACAGTAATTTAGTTAGCCAATAATGGGCAATCAATCAAAGTATTGCCGGTTAATCCTTTGAAAGAAGGACGTTGTTTTTACGCAAACACCGACACGACAGAGTGTATTCAGTATAGATTAGTAAATCTACATACCCGGTACATAAACACTACCTTTTGACAATTCCGCTGTGTAAGATAAAAGTAATTAATCAATCAGCGTGTTATCGGTTAATCCTTTGATCGATGTTTATAATGTTGAATATTTACTCCAGACACAAGAAATGCCAAATGGGAACCTTTGTCGGGTAATCTAAGTGTGTTACCACTAATTATACCTGTTATAAATTCATTAACTGACCATCAAGTGAATGATGACAAATAACATGTGTAGGTTTATACCACCTAACACGGGTTACAACAAGGGAGTATTAATTGCTGTATTGCATGTGAAAACTTATGGGCGACACTGTTTTGAGAATACAAACAGATTTTTTACATGACATGATTAAATATCGAGGTAAAAACACAGAAATGGGATCAATTTGGATCAGTCATTATACAAATAGGGCCTAACGACTTCAATCGATTTTGACAGAATCGCCTATGAAAACAAGTTTTAACTCGGAAACTAGGCAAAGCAGGAGACAAAATTAAATGACAGTAGATTGTGAGAACATATAGCTTTCATTTTCCACAACAATTGTCACGATTTCAGGTTTATACAAGCCTGTAAACAAGATAATTTACCCCCTAAAATGTAGATGAATTCTGCATCGGCCCTCAAAGCTATTCCTCATATGACGTCACAGAGACGCGCCGCTCTGATTGGTTGAAATTTCGTTCGCGGGTGAGAATTGTGCACTGTTGTCAAAAAGGTCGATTTAAGTCAATTAAAGGTCGAAATGAGTAGTTTTAATGACGGGGTTTCATTTATAACGATGCCAGTTAGTGATTTATGTATTTGTACCCCCTAGGGTTTATGTGATCTTTAACAACTCTACAGAGTCTGTTATTATATATTTACCTTAAGTTAATCATATCTTAAGAGTAGTACTATGGTTACATGATAAATGCATTAGCTAAACAAACTCTACAGAGTTTTTGGCTATTATATACGTAGCTTAAGTTAATTATATCTTAAGCATAGTACTATACTCATATTGTATAAATATATTAGCTAACAAACTCTACGGAGTTTTGCTATTATATAGGTAGCTTAAGCTTATTCATATCTTAAGCTCAGTACTATGTTTATATCATATAAGTATATTAGCTAACAAACTCTAAAGAGTTTTTTGCTATTTGGCTTAAGTGTCATCATATCTTAAGCAATATGGTTACATTATAACATGTATTAGCTAACAAACTCTCCACGGAGTTTTGCTATTATATATGTAACTTAAGCTTATTCATATCTTAAGCGCCAGTACTATGTTTATATCATATAGGTATATTAGCTATCAAAAATCTAAAAGAGGTTTTTGCTATTATATATTTGGCTTAAGTTTCATCATATTTTAAGCTTTATGGTTACATTATAACATGTATTAGCTAACAAACTCTACAGAGTTTTTGCTATTATATATGTAGCTTAAGGTTTCCTTCATAAGCTCAATACTAGGATTATATCATATAAGTATTTTAGCTAACAAACTCTAAAGGGTTTTTTGCTATTATACAATTAGCTTAAGTTTCATCATATCTTAAGCAGTATGGTTACATTATAAAATGTATTAGCTAATAAAACTCTATGGAGTTTTGCTATTATATACATAGCTTAAGTTTAATCATATCTTAAGCTCAGTACTATGTTTATAACATAAAAGTATATTAGTTAATAAACTCTAAGGAGTTTTTGCTATATACATTTAGCTTAAGTCTAATCTTATCTTAAGCTTAGTACTATGGTTACATTATAAATCTATTAGCTAATAAACTCTACAGAGTTTTTGGCTATTGTATATGTAGTTTAAGTTAATTATATCTTAAGCACAGTACTATACTCATATTGTAAAATATATTAGCTAACAAACTCTACAGAGTTTTGCTATTATATATGTAGCTAAAGCTTATTCATATCTTAAGCTCAGCATTATATCTATATCATATAAGTATATTAACTAACAAACTCTAAAAAGTTTTGCTATTATATAATTAGCTTAAGTTTAATCATATCTTAAGCTTAGTACTATGTTTATATCTTAAAGTATTTTAGCTAACAAACTCTAAGGAGTTTATACTAGCATATTAACAAGCTTAAGTCTATTAGTCTTAAGCATTGTATTAATGTTATATATACTTTATCATAATAAGTACATTGTAATAACCTTTATATGGCAGCTGATAAGTTAGCAGCAGGAATTCAGTGCCTTTATGAAGTTCCCATAGGGTTATTACAATCATCACAGTTCAAATCACTAATTATTAAAATCCAAAGTATTATATATTCCCACCTCCTTTTCCGTCGGATTCTACAAGCAAAAAGAGCATGAGTCAGGATAAGGAAAAATATGTAATTTTTAGAGTAAAATTGATATTTTATAGTTATCCTGACTCATGAGGTAAGCCCTCCCATCCTCCCCAGATTACACTTTGGATTTCCCTGTAAATTCAAATGTTGGGCTCAGTATATGAGGAGAGAGTGAGGCACATGGGTGGAGGTGGCGCCCTCGTTCCCGCGCTTGTGGAAGGGAGGTAACTCGTGGTGAGTACTAATTAGTGATTTTACATTGAAGGGAGCTTCAATTAGGGAGATACAAGTGTTCCACTATGTTCGCAAGAAGAAGAAGACAAGCAAAAAGAGCATGAGTCAGGATAAGTATAAAATATCAATTTTACTCTAAAAATTACATTTTGTACCCCGCCGCAACGCGGAACGGGGGACTATGTATTCAGCAGCGTCCGTACCGATTCTTGTTAATGCAATATCTCATGAACTGTTGTACCTAATGTCTTCACATTTGGTGACAGCCTACACTGGGGGATTACGCAGACAACTGTCGATTTTGGTGACCTTGACCTCATTTTCAAGGTCACCACGCCACTTTGACAACTTTTCAAACTCTTGTTATCGGATATGTCATAAAACATTGCACCCAATGTCTTCAATTATGTCGACAGCCTACATTGGGTACATACAGACACCACTCATTTCAGGCATCTTTTATCTGAGAAAAATATAAAAAGTAGTAAATATGTTATAAATATTTCGTTCTTCTTTAGCGTCAGGGGACATTGCCATATAAGTGGCAAACACTTGTTATATTTAAATGCTGATGTAGGGACAACATGTGTATTTTTTATCATCTAGACTGGTTTTGATGTAATTCAATACACTTATTCCTTGGTCGTGGTGCAGGACTGTAGAGGCTGTATTCATGGAAATGGTGGTGTCACTATACTTGGAGTGTAATGTGGAGGTGACATTGTCCAGTACAAGTTCATGGACTGTCATGTGAGTCTGTGTGTTCTGCAGGTGCGAGCGTTCATGCAGCCACCGATGCAGGGAGTAGTTCTTCAGACATATGGTGCCGGCAATGCCCCTGACAATCGAGACGACCTGCTGCAACTGTTCCGAGAAGCCACCAACTGGGGCATCATCATCATCAACATCACCCAGTGTACTCACGGCAGAGTTTCCACATCCTATGCAACAGGGAAGGTAAGGAAATACACACACACAACAGACATACATACAATAAAAGGCTTGTGGAGTATTGGAAGTCAAGTCCTTAGACCTTCAGAACTTTCAGCTTGCCTCACAAATTATAACTGATATGATGAAAATCATGGTCAATGTGTAAAACCAAATCAAATCACCAACACCAGATGACCCACTTCCATACATCATACAACATCTCTTGTGAGGATTCAGACTATAGTCTGTTTGCAGTGAAAATGTACCGATGAATTTCACTTTAAAAAAAAAGTAAATCAAATAAAGTGAAATTAAGACTGTGAATCCTCATAATTTTGCCTTGCCAACTGAACATTTAAATCTCAGAATTTTATTCATTGTAGGACAAAAGTTGTTTAACAAATGATCATACATTCAAATCGCTATTATTGGTTTGTATTACAAGGGGGCAAGAGCAGTAGTTGGAACAGTGAAACAAATGCACGTGCGGTTCGTGATGAGTGTTAACTTAGACAACTCTACATGTACCGGTGTTTCATTTAATGTGCATACACCCTTCTAATACAAACCAATAATAGCGATTAGAAACTATGATCGTTTGCTAAACAACTTTTATCCTAAGTTGAATAAAATTCTGAGATTTAAATGTTCAGTTGGCAAGGTAAAATTATGAGGATTCGCAATCTTAATTTTATCTTATTCGATTTACTTTTTTGTTTAAATTGACATTCAGCGGTACGTTTTCAATGCAAACAGACTATAGTTCTTTAGAAACCAATGCTGTTGGTAAGGGGTGAACTGATGGACTCAGTGCCTTGGTTGACAGTGTGTCACTGAACCACGAGGTGGATTGATGTTAAAAAATATCACATAATTTGTCTGGTTGACTGAATTATTTTCAGTCTTCCGTTTTGTAGCTTTATTTCTTGAGTGTAGTATTTCACAATGAATGAATGAAGGAACCAAAAAATGAACAAAATAACAAAACACTGCTAAACCGTTCCATCTGTAATCCTCCAGGTACAATCAGTGGTGTTTACATCCCACCAAATGATATCAATTGTTATCTTTAAACGTAATTCCTGTCTACTGTCTGATCTGTGAATGTGTCGTGTCTCCAGGCCTTGCGTGAGACAGGGGTGATACCAGGGGGGGACATGACCCCTGAGGCAGCCCTCACCAAACTTGGATACGTTCTCAGCAAAGATAGCTGGTCACTGGACAAGAAACGGAAGGTGAGGCCGGTGACCCTCAGGGCGGCTACTTCTGTGTGTATTTGTTCTTGCTATGATTTATAATTCCCCAACTGTATCAAGTTTAAATTGTCAGATTAGTTGGACTTCCTGATCAAGGAATCATACTCTTGTGTACATTTTCTCTGTACATATATATGCTTGTTGTTACCTATCCTGGTGCTGAGCATTAAGGAATACAAGGAGGACCAGTTGACTTGGAGTCAGTATACAGCATCAGAGTGGGGTATCCATGTTAAACATCTCATTGGGTAGCACTGTAAATCTTACACAGGTCTACAATTGTATGGGCGGTGGGGTAGCCCAATGGTTAAAGCATTCTCTTGTCACGCCGAAGGCCCGGGTTCGATTCCCCACATGGGCACATTGTGGAAGCCCATTTCTGGTGTCCCCCGACGTGATATTGCTGGAATATTGCTAAAAGTGTTGTAAAACCCAACTCACTCACTCACTACAATTGTACAAGCAGCCACATGCTTGTGCATGCACATCGCCATATGAGTGCAGGAAATGAAACTCATCTGAATTTGCAAGAATGAATGTTTAGGTTGAAGATGACATGCTATTTGCCTGTCAATGCATATAAAACTTCACTTTGCCATGTGGGAGGTTTCCTTACTGTTCCACGTTGATCTATGCAGATGATGAGTCGCAACCTGCGTGGAGAGATGACCACATCCATCCAGGAAGAAATCTCCATCATGGACCATGAGCTGATTGAGAGCGTAGCCAGGACCCTGAGCCTCAGCAGCAAGGATGTGAGTGACAGGATGTAGTCTGTAGTTGGGGAGGAACTTGTATACCCTGAGCCTCAGCAGCAAGGATGTGAGTGACAGGATGTAGTTTGTAGTTGGGGAGGAACTTGTATACCCTGAGCCTCAGCAGCAAGGATGTGAGTGACAGGATGTAGTTTGTAGCTGGGGAGGACCCGTGATACCCTGAGCCAGGATGTAGTTTTGTAGTTGGGGAGGAACTCTGTATACACTGAACCTCAGCAGCAAGGATGTAGTAGTTGGGGAGGAACTCATATACCCTGAGCCTCAGCACAGGATGTTTGTAGTTGGGGAGGAACTGTATAGCCAGCAAGGATGGAGTGACAGGATGTAGTTTGTAGTTGGGGAGGAACTCTTGTATACCCCCTGAGCCTCAGCAGCAGGGAGGATGTACACTGAGCCCCAGCAAATGACAGGATGTAGTTTGTAGTTGGGGAGGAACCCAGATACCCTGAGCCTCAGCAGCAAGGATGTGGGTGACAGGATGTAGTTTGTAGTTGGGGAGGAACTCAGATACCCTGAGCCTCAGCAGCAAGGATGTGCGTGACAGGATGTAGTTTGTAGTTGGGGAGGAACTCAGCAGCAAGGATATACCCTGAGCCTCAGCAGCAAGGATGTGAGTGACAGGATGTAGTTTTGTAGTTGGGGAGGAACTCAGTTATACCCTGAGCCTCAGCAGCAAGGATGTGAGTGACAGGATGTAGTTTGTAGTTGGGGAGGAACTCGTATACCCTGAGCCTCAGCAGCAAGGATGTGAGTGACAGGATGTAGTTTGTAGTTGGGGAGGAACTCGTATACCCTGAGCCTCAGCAGCAAGGATGTGAGTGACAGGATGATGTAGTTTGTAGTTGTAGGGGAGGAACCTCCGTATACCCTGAGCCTCAGCAGCAAGGATGTGAGTGACAGGATGTAGTTTGTAGTTGGGGAGGAACTCGTATACCCTGAGCCTCAGCAGCAAGGATGTGAGTGACAGGATGTAGTTTGTAGTTGGGGAGGAACTCGTATACCCTGAGCCTCAGCAGCAAGGATGTGCGTGACAGGATGTAGTTTGTAGTTGGGGAGGAACTCGTATACCCTAAAGGGATGTCAGTATACCCTGAGCCTCAGCAGCAAGGATGTGAGTGACAGGATGTAGTTTGTAGTTGGGGAGGAACTCGTATACCCTGAGCCTCAGCAGCAAGGATGTGGGTTGTTTGTACTCTGTAGTTGGGGAGCAACTCGTATACTGGTACACTTTACATGTAACATTAAGTTGGAGTGTTTACTCATGACACTAGCCTGTAGGCATGCTGAGTTTGTCCCTTGGAAAGATAAGAGAGGGAAGGACTTGGTTGATTGTGCCTATTACTCATAATTTCATTCAATAGGTCATGTTGTCCAAATTCTGTCTTCCACAGGTCCTTTGTCATACAGCTGACATATTACTGACAAAGAAACATGCGATATTCACGCTTAACTTAAATTATTAAGATGGGAAGACATTTACACTTTACACACGTCATTTAGATGGAAAAACTTTACTTTACTTGAATAATTAAGAAGAGAAAGTAATTTATACTTGTGTATAAATATGAAGTAATGTGTATAACATGAGTAATGAGTGAAGATTGTTGCTTTTCAATCTTACCATAAAGAAATGCTATCATATTTAATTCAAAGAAAAACAGGAAATGCCAAATACATTTGGCTAACCATGAACATTTTCTTACAGTTATTTCATCAAGATGTACAGGTTCTGTACCGGCCATGTTATAGCCCTGATAACTTCCTGATATGTATAACTATCACTAAAACAGCATGTCAGCTATTACATAGAAAATGGCACCAAAGAGTCATTTGATATGAAACATATTAACCTAAGGAAAGCTTAACTCCAGTGCTTGCCAAGGGTTTTAACATAACAATAAGTGTATATGTATTTGATAACAAAGGACTGGAGGTTGAGATTCTGTTTATCATCCTTAATCATTATTCCAATTTTTTTCAGTTTGTAGATTAATTTTTATAGCTATTTATCAGTTTCACTGGCAAAGAGGTTAGTGATGTCATTTGAGTGAGTGAGTGAGTGAACTAGTGAGTGAGTATGGCCTAGTGGTTAAAGCGTTCGCTTGTCAAGCTGTAAGATCCGGGTTTGATTCCCCACATGGGTACAATGTGTGAAGCCAATTTCTGGTGGCCCCAGCCGTGATAGTGCTGGAATATTGCTTAAGGGGCGAACAAGCAAACTCTCTCACTCACTGGGTACAGTAAACCCATGTCCTGTGTCCCCTATCTTTGAAGGCATGATACCAACACTGTTGGAAACAGCATTTCAGTGTTTGGTCATGCACATCTCTTTATTAGAAAATATTTTGATGGTAATGTGGAAGCATAATTTCCATGATAACTTTTATATATGAATAACTTCAAACATAATTTCCTTTATTCAAAATATAATCTCACTAAACCACATATCTGTTGTCTTGGATGTGTTGAATCCCTGGTTCTGTCAAACTCACAGTCCTCTCCTGCCAACTCTGTCTGTATTTATCACTATGTAACCAGAATGTTTGAAATGTAAGTGTCAAATTACTGATTATCTCAAACTCACAGTCCAGTCACTACAAATGCTCTCTATATTTATCACCATTTAACCCAAATGTGCGAAACTGGTTCATATTCGCGATTATTTCGAAGTTACAGTCCAGTCCCAGCAAACCTTTACTATATTTAACACTCTTTTAACCAGGATGTGAAGCACAGCATGTGCAAAAGTCTCATTTGTTTTATGATCAAGTTGTTATCCCAAAGGTTAGAAATAACTTTAAAATGTTTTAAAGCACAATTTAGCACAAGTCCTGTACAAAATGCATTTACCTGTTTAAATGTAGGTATGAAACATACTTCTGGTATATTTCTGATTATATAAGTGTTATTTGTATAACATGTACAATGCGGTATACTAGTATGCCTTTTCTGTAGTCTGACAGTTGAACCTTGTGTCAAGGGGATCGACTGTATGTTGGGAATATACAAAATAGGAGACAGGCAGCTGTTGATTAATAAATCACTCATCAACTCCTTCTAGTTATACATAATGTAATCTGAATAAGTGGTATATTGTTTAACATCATTATTTGAAACATTTTGTAAGTTTGGGAATCTTGTAATTGAATATTGTACATGTCATTGTGTAAGATCTTTGTACCTTTTTTACATTACTCATGTGTCAGAAAATAAATTTAATTTATTATGTGGTGAGTAAAATTGTAAGGCTCGGCGGGAATATTTAGGGTCGGTCGGGAAATCGGAACCACAAGCCTTTTTTTTTTAGGCCTCAGGCTCACTGACGCATGTCATTGTATTGATGCTCATAATACTGATCACTGTGTTGTCTGGTCCAGAGTCGATTATTTACAGACGCTGCCATATGGCTGAGTGCTGCAAACAAATCTTGATACTTCGTAGTTACAGTACATTCTTTGATACGAAATATTATGAAACTTGCACAAACACTATACTGGCCTGGTCTTGATGGACTGTCACATCTCTGGCTTCCAGGAGATTGTGAAGCTGCGTGATGCTCTGTACCCCAACTTGATGTGTGCTGCAGCCAACACCGGAGACATACCGGCTCTGGAGAAGTTACGCCAGACTGTGAGTGACAATGGTGCATGCTGGGTAGATGTTGTAAAATCATAATGAAACTTATTGAATCTGAATTCAACAGAATATAGTGGTTTAACAGTTTTTAAAAATACTGTAATCGTATATATTTTCACGGGGTGCTATTTTTGCGAAAGTTCACAAAAGACCTCTTAGCACAGTTGTTTTTTTCGTGCATTTCAAACACCTGAGTGATGGTATCCATCACAAAGTTTTCACAACCGATAGACATGCAATGATCAAAGCTAGCCGCCATGATTGAATCGTGTTTACTAAAACAATCAGAGAGAGAGAGGTGGGATTATACTTGTGTCAACATGACAACATCTGTCCCATATGCGAGACATTGCTGATTGTGATCGCTATTACAAGTATATATGCCTCTATTCCTTTATATATTGTTTTGATGTTGTGATCTGAGAAAATAAACAAATTGCATGTTGTTCCTTCTTGAGTATTTGTCATGACTTGACCATGTATATTTCGCTTGGTATGATTATTGACGCACAATATATTTGAGCTTAAAGCTACGAAAATTAATCCCACGCGAAAATAACTACGATTACAGTATTTAACAACTTTGACAGAATATATATGATATAAAAAATAAAGCCAATTTTCAGGCACAAATCTAATACATTTGTGTGGGTATTTTGCCAGTTAGCAAACTAATACAACGGCCATGACAAAGTTATCCTGTGTGAAATACATATCACGAACATGGAGGGGCATTTAATTGATGGAGGAGAGGAAACTGACAACAGACAATATGGAAGTAGACTTAAGTTCCTTTGTGCACTTTATATGAATTTTTGCCATTTTGGTACAATGTGTAAAGCCCATTCTGGTGTCTTCCGCCCCTGATATTGCTGGAATATTGCTAAAAGCAGAGTAAAAGCCTACTCACTCATATTGTATTCCTCTTATTCAGGGGGGTCATATATCTGCCGCCAACCAAGATGGCCGCACGGCGTTACACATGGCCTGTCAGGGTGGTCACTTCTCCACCGTGCAGTACCTGCTCCACCATGGGGCATCGGTCCACATCAAGGATTACCATGGCGACACCCCATTGATTAATGCCATCAGTGGGAAGCACATGTCCATTATCACGCTGCTGGTCCAGACTGGTGCTGTCATTCCCCTGAAACCTGAGAAGATGGCGGTGGAACTGTGCAGGTGAGTAGCTGGACACTGTTTAGCCTGGTCTTTGATCGATATTTCAGGGTCGATCTCACAAACCATACACACAGGCAATTGTCCCAAGATTATGATCAGTGCTGCTGTCCACTTTATGTTCATGTTTGCTATTTAACTTTGAACACTCATTAAATTTTGCTGTTGCAATATGGGGTGGTGGAATAGCCTAGTGGTTAAAGCATTCGCTAGTCACGCAAAGACCTGGGTTTGATTCCCCACATGGATACAATGTGTGAAGCCCATTTCCAGGTGTCCCCCGCCGTCGCTACAAGCGGCGTAAAACTAAACTCACTGTCGCGACATCTTTCTAACCCTTATTTCAGTGCTGCCTCTCAAAACGATGTAGATACAATCAAAGCATGGCATGAGGCTGGAGCTGACCTCAACGCCTGTGACTACAACTACCGAACTGCACTACATGTGGTGAGTTGACGCTGACTGAAGAAGTAGAAAAATCCACAGATGGCATTGAAACAGTGGTGGTTCATATAAAGTATAATACGTATTGTCAAACAGGTGGCGGTGGGAACCAACTGCTGTTGAATGACACATGAAACAAATGTTAAATGTTATGCACAGGTTTTTTCTATTTACCATACTTATGTGTCATATGCTGTGTGTATGTACAGTACAACCAGAAATTATTGAGAATTTAAAGATTGTAAATTTTTTATTTTTTTCACTCATTACTCACGTATTAAATGTGAATATTAGCAGAACATAACTCCAGATTCAAAGACAGGTGAACACTTAGTATTTTGTCAAGGCACCATGGGCAGCAATGCAGGCTTCAATGCAGCGGGGCATACTACTGATCAAAGAAGTTAGAAAGTCGTGGTCCATGCTGTCCCAATATCGGACCACCTCTTCTTTCATTTCAGCAATATTTGTCAGATTTGTCTTATTGACATTTTCCTTCATAAGTCCCGAAACATTTTCTATTGGATTTATGTCAGGGCTATAGCAGCCAATCTAATAATGTCATATTTTGGGTCCGAAACCAGGCCTGTGAATGCTTTGAACGATGTTTTGGGTCATTGTCCTGCTGGAAAATCCAAAACTTTCCATAGAACACGTGAGCAGATGGAAGTAAATGTCCCTCGAGAATATCTGTGTACCGCTCACTGTTCATATTCCTTCAAATACACAGAGGGCGCTTGCCCCTAACACAGATATACCCACCCACACGCTAAATTTCGGACTGTACTTTGGGCTGATACAAAGGTTTTCAGTTTGTTTGGTCCAGAATTTCAGTGTATTAGGAAACAGCCACACAGAACTTTCTCGGCCTGAGAAAATCACATTGTCCCAGTTAAAATTTCTATGCTGTAAGCACCAGTTCAACCTTCGCTCCTTTTGTTCAGGTTTCATGATCGGTGATGGAATTCTCGACTTTTCTGCCAACCCATTGCATGCAGCTCAGTTCTAATTGTCTCCTTACAGACAGCCACAGCTCCTATATCAATCATATCCAGCCTTAAGTTTTCTAAACGCCTTCGTTTGTTTTTAGAAACAAGAATACCAAGCCACCTCCTGTCACCGACAGTCAATTTTCTGGGCCTACCTGCGCCTCCCTGGTTCTCAATGCCATATCCATTTGCAATATTTTTCAAAACACGATAAACAGTGGACAAAGGGATGCCTGTTCTACTTGAAATCACTTTAGCTGATCTGATGTCCTTGTTATAATACTCTAAAATCAACTTCCTCTTCCCTTAATCATCCATACTGAGGATCACTGAAAATGTCGTCTGCTAGCAAGTAAACAAAGGGGGATAACTCTTCACAAACTAATGAAAAAGGATTAACGTTGTCTCTCTTGAATGAAACCAAGAACTTGATAGCTGGTCAAGGTTGTTTATACTAGAAATCCAATTAAACATATTCCCAAAATTCTCAATAATTTCTGGTCATACTATACAATACCTGTGTGTTTTATAGTGTGTGAATGTACAATGCCTGTGTTTTATAGTGTGTGTGTGTGTGTGTACAATACCTGTGTTTTATAGTGTGTGTGTACAATACCTGTGTGTTTTATGTAAGTGTGTATGTATAATACCTGTGTATTTTATGGTGTGTGTATTTGTAATACCTGTGTGTGTTTTATAGTGTGTGTATGTTGAATACCTGTGTGTTTTATAGTGTGTGTATGTACAATACCTGTGTGTTTTATGTGTGTATGTACAATACCGCAGTTTTTATGTGTGAATGTACAATGCCGTGTGTTTTATAGTGTGTGTGTAGTGTGTACAATACCTGTGTATGTATTTACAATACCTGTGTGTATTTACAATACCTGTGTGTGTGTATGTTTAATACCTGTGTGTTTTATAGTGTGTGTATGTACAATACCAATAGTGTTTTATAGTGTGTGAATGTACAATACCTGTGTGTTTTATAGTGTGTGTGTGTACAATATCTGTGTGTTTATAGTGCAATACCTGTGTGTTTTAATGTGTGTGTGTTTATAGTTCAATACATGTGTGTTTTATAGTGTGTGTATGTACAATATGTGTGTGTGTTTATAGTGTGTAGTGTATGTGTACAATATCTGTGTGTTTTATAGTGTGTGTATGTTCAATAGCTCTGTTTCATGCTCTGTGTATGTACAATACCTCTGTTTCAGGCCGTGTGTACCTATAACACTGAAGTCGTACAGTACCTCCTCAACAACGGTGCCAAAACAGATATACAAGATATATTTGGTAACACACCCCAGTCACATGCAGAGAAGCTATGCTATCCTGACATCTTGAAGATGATGGGTCAAGAGCCAGCTGTCAATCACTCTGAGTGACAGTTGAACAGACAATCAGATCAAATATGGGTGTAAGCTGTGTACAACTGTATCCCTTGGGTATGATGGTGATGACAGAGGATGTGAGAGTGAGATTATCCCAACATAGCCAGTAAATATGGTGTGTTCATTCTAAAGTAGTGCTCAGTGTTCTGTGAACATGTGTAACAGTTCATTTCATTGTTTGTGTGAAAACATGAACATTTACTTGAGCAAGCACAGTTACTTTGTTATTTGAAATTGCAGATAATTGTAGGATGGATGACATCATCTTTACTGTCTGGTTTCAAGTATTCCACAATATGTGAATGGTCACATTACCTTGCAAAATACAAAGTCAGATATTGTGAAAAATATTTTGGAGCCAGACACTTATAGGATATTGAACTAGACATTTGACTTCTGATATACAGGTAAAACCTGTCGAGGATATATTGTTATGTATTTAGAAAGAAATTATTGTGAATGTGTTTAAAGTATGATGTTAGTGTAAATTATCATGATGAGTGTGGAGATGATGATGTGGTTGTTTTATCTTCTGATGATAATGTGTTCATTTTGCCAAAACTACTTTAAGATCTTTCAAGTTCTGTCAGTGATTTGTCCATTGTAAATCCCTGTTAACACAAATATTCCACATGAAAATAAGCAAAGATTTGCTTCACAAAGACTATAGAGGACTGAACAAGGACCACATAGGACTTAACTAAGATCAGAGATTACTTAACAAAGTCCACTTAGGACTTAATGAAGACTACAGGGGACTTAACATTGTCCAGTTAGGACCTAATGGAGACAACAGAGGACTGAACATGGACCATGGAGGACTTAACAAAGGCCACAGAGGACTTAACTAAGATCAGAGATTACTTAACAAAGTCCACTTAGGACTTAATGAAGACTACAGGGGACTTAACAAAGTCCAGTTAGGAGCTGATTGGAGACAACAGAGGACTGAAAAAAGACCATAGAGGTCTTAACTAAGATCAGAGATTACTTAACAAAGTCCACCTAGGACTTAATGAAGACTACAGGGGACTTAACATTGTCCAGTTAGGACCTAATGGAGACAACAGAGGACTGAACATGGACCATAGAGGACTTAACAAAGGCCACAGAGGACTTAACTAAGATCAGAGATTACTTAACAAAGTCCACTTAGGACTTAATGAAGACTACAGGGGACTTAACAAAGTCCAGTTAGTTAGGAGACTGAGAGGAGACAACAGAGGACTAGGACCTGATGGAGACAACAGAGGACTGAACAAAAACCACAGATGACTGATCAAGGACCACAGAAGTCTGAACAAAGATTGCAGAGGACTTAAAAAAGAATGCTTTCAAATACTTGTAGATTTCATGACATGGAAAATTACTCATTTTACTTAGCATCTCCCAATTATTGCACTCATCATCTATTTATTGGAATGATCCCTCCATTGTGGGGACTAATGTTTTCTGTATGTGGGCAAGTGACCAAAGTTTCACTCAGGTTAGGTCTGCTATTGTTTGTACTTGTGTGTTCATTTGTTGTTTAGCACCCCATCTTGCAGTATTCCAGCTGTTCTGGCCATGTGTAAATAATATTGAGGCTGAACCAAACAATCCAGTGATTACTACCATCAGTGTATAGTACTGAGATACAGTGACATGCACCAACCAAGATCTTTGGACGTTTGTATCTGTACTGTTGTGCCAAGTTGGACAATGTTAGAGACCCAGCCTGTATTACTTAAATCCCATCAAAAATATATTGTTCCTCTGTGTGAAGATCTGTGGACACTTCCTCAGAAAGTCGTACCACTTGTCCACTTTGCAAAATGATTCAGCTTGGGTTTTTACATCAATTTGGAAATTTGATTTGTACAAATTAAAACCAGCACAGGACACAAGTGCTACATATTGGTACTCTCTTGTGGATGGAAATGCCATTTCACTTTGAAGAGATTACAGGGTGAGTGTGATATGTTGACTATAATATAATGGCACCACTTCTTTGGAAGCTGGGGTGGTGGGGTAGCCTAGTGGTTAAAGTCACGCCAAAGACCCGGGTTCGATTCCCCACATGGGTACAGTGTGTGAAGCCCATTTCTGGTGTCCTCTGCCGGGATATTGCTGGAATATTGCTAAAAGCGGCGTAAAACCTTACTCACTCACTCTTTGGAAGCTGTTTCAAGAAACAGAAATTTGATTGAATGCTTGGCCCACTGATCCCAATATTGTTACAAGCCGTCATATTGATTAGCTGATCAGAAAATGGACATGACATGACCTGATATACAAGTGTCCCGAGATCTTCCCGATTTAATTGTATCAGCTTAAAAAGATGATATATATATGTATATATAAAATGGGTGTCATATCAAACTCAAATTCAAATTCAAATGATATCTTACCAGTGAAATGGCTTGTATTCTAATGACATTAGTATAATTTGGAAGATGATATTTTTATGAGAATGATGTCGTTATTGTGGAAAAGATCTGATTTTCATTAGATTTGGTATGGTATTAGTGAGAATGATCTGATTTTCATAAGGCTGGTTATCCTTCAATGTAACTTAAGAACTATTACAGATTCCTGATGAGAACATACCGTTATTGTTGTACAACAGCCTGTACTCTCAAAATTTGATTTACACATAGCAGATGGGAGGTGTCTGTCATCTATTGCCACTCCAATGGAAATATGGTTGTTACCAAAATCAAAGTTGGGCGAGTAACATATGGATACGCTTGAATGAATGGGAAAGGTGTTCAGTTGTTTGTGAAAAGGGTAAGCATGTCCTTAAGAATTGGGAGGACTGCAGAAAGGATAAACCACTGAGAAAATGAAGTTTATGTAACAGTTTCACTTGAATATATTTATGTATTATATAGCCCCTGATTTCAACTTGGATAGGTACTTTCTGCTGCTATAGAAATATATTGTACATGCCAGTACTAATCAGGGTATGTAACTCTTCTCTAGTCCCAGTTATTACACTATAGTCTTCAGCATAGAGTTACTATGTGTAACTTTGTATGTTTGTAAATGTTGAAGGACTTTCTATTTTTCTTGGTTTACAGATTGTTTTGTGAAATTACTGGTTATTAGGTGGTTAAAACCCCAGAGACATTTAAAATTTGTTTTCTTTGAAAAGCTATATGTAAATTGATGTTTCAGAACAAAAACTCTTTGTAGAACTTTTTTTTTTGCACAACTGTTTTGGTGAACAGTATCTTGTTTTAGATTTCTTTTTCCTCATTTAATTTATTATGTAGGTCTGTAAACCAATTATAATATTAACTGTATTCATAACCTACTTATACCCAAATGAATGCTCATTTGACACAAGTATATAATGTTTGTTATGCCTTTGTACCAAGAGATTTTGTACAGTTTTTCTGTTTTTTGTTCTGAGATCTGGTTTATTGTGTTTACAAATGATTCCTATCACATGTGGATGTAATAATGAGGCTGAGATTTAGACAGACACTTAACTATGAATGTAACAATGATGCTGAGATTTAGATAGCCATGTAACTGTTATTTGTTGAATTGTTTTACAAAAATGTTTTCATCAAGTGCTATTTTATGTTGTTGTCAGTGTTGTTTTTATTGATTGGGTATTTCACCAGAATCTCACCAAAGTGTGATGTATTTGTTGTTGTTTACATCAAGTCGCTTGCCAAAGGTTATGAATACGGGTTTAGTATATGTCAGCCTTCCGGTGCTTTGTTGTGTACATGGTCTATGGCTTCTGGGGGGAAGAATATGGAGAGAGCTCCATCATGGCATTTTTTTCTTCAAGGGGTTTGGCAAAGGTTATGATGATGGGTTTACTATCAGCTTTCCGGTGTTTTGTTGTTGTGTAGATGGTCCATCGTGAACAAGATGGAGTGTGAGCCCTCTGCCTACTTAACGAAGGTTTGTCTAACAAAAGAGACGGAATTTTCATCATTAGTTAAAGGCATTTTAACTTTTGTAGTACATGTTGCTTTCTACAACATAGATTTGCTTGACTTAAGTCTGTCGTGCACCATGCCCTGTATGTAGTAGATTCCTTGAGTTAGGATACAATTTTTAGAATATGGAAGGAAAATTTGTAGGTTTAATCTGTAACATGTTTGACTTGGTGATTTTAATTTAGGGACTGGTCATTTATTATGGGTGGGTTGGCTGGTGAGATTAAAGGATTGTAATGGAAGAGGGACATAGGAAAAGAGTTGGGGTACCCAAAATATATCACAACAATAGAGGGGTGAGGGTGAGGGTGAGAAAGTGACATGTTTCGGTTTTACCAGATAAAAAGTAAACATTTGAACATTAATTTTATACTTTCTAAAAATGAAGATATTGTGTGGGGTTGGCTGACTGGCTGAGTATGGTTTTACGCCGTTTTTAGCAATATTCTAGCAATATCACGGCGGGCGACACCAGAAATGGGCTTCACAAGTTGTACCCATGTGGGGAATCGGACCATGGCCTTCGGGCGTGACGAGCTAACGCTTTAACCACTGGGCTACCCCACCGCCCCGTGTTGGGGTTATGTGGGTTGTGCCATGAAGAAATGTGACAGTGGTGCTGTACGGCCACAATGTTCTACAAATACGATACAGCCTTGAGAACAATCCCACCAGCCCAGCCTCTCTTATAATACATGACCAGTTCCTATAAGATTGGCAGTTACTGTTAAAAGGTAAAGCTTTAGCAAATATTTTAGTCATTGTTATTGCAGGGATTAAGGTGCAAATTTGTATTTACATTTATTGTATTATAATTGTTATGCTCTCAGCTCTAAAAGCCATAAAAGGAGCTGGGCTGTTTCCCTATCCAGTCCCTAAGTATTTATAACTGAATTTTATTTCATATCCTGGAGTACATAAAAACCATTTATTAATACAGTATATAATATGTAGTGTGAAATCCATACCATGCTTATTGGACAGCTGTACGTAACATATGCATATCAGCGTATTTTGTAGCATTTTTTTGTTCTCATTTGTAAGACAATATTTATTTTTCATTGACATAAATCTGCTTAGTGCATTTCTACCACAGATGGTGCCAGATATATACTCAAACAATTTTTAAAACTTACGTTTTAGACCAGGATGTTTTTTGCGATAGCTTTTAGGATGTTTTTCTTCAAATGTTAAAGCCATATTTTTGTGCTGTTTGTAGCTTTTCTTTTATATTATTTCATGTAATTCCGACTTGTGTTTATGTAGTATTGTGTTGACAGACAAACAACTGTCAACGCCAGTGGACTCACGGGTAAGCAACTAAGAAATGGTTATACTTAATTCCAGAAAGATTAAAAGTTTATTGCACCATATTTTACCGTTTTGTTTCTTTTTTGAGATTTTATATCAAGAAATGTACTCAAAAGTAATACAAAGTAATACAAAGAAATACAATTGAAAGAAGTGTCAAACTTGTTGATCACCGACTCCTGTTGTCAATGTGTTGTGTCTGGTTCACCTCTGAGAGTGGGACACACTTGCTTAAGACACCACCTCCTATCCTGTCATCCTGCAATGGATGAAGTTTGTTCATATCTCCAGACAACAGACAGAATATCAGTTGCATGTGTCAGCAGAGAACAGGGTGCAAGAGCTAATTTGACACAACACACATGTAACAAGTATGTCATTATGATTTCTAAGACAAAGACTGTGCTGGTATATATCTGTGACATTGACATCAATCATATGACTGCCATATGGTGACCATTATGGCATGACATTGACAAACAAGTAATGTCGCATCATGTTGTGAATGTTGGACAGTCCATGTGAAGTACTGTAAGGCCAGACCAATTTTATTTCTTGTTTTACAGATCCGCCGGTCGTAATTTTTCAAGAGTTAGAAAACAATAGAAATATACTACCGACAAAAAATAAGGGAACTGATGAAATGACAGTGAATGTGAAATTGCTCTGAATGTCCACTAAATCCAATGTGGGCGTAAAGTTCAATATCTGGTGTGTCCACCATGTTGGGCAACACATTCACGACACCTTGATGGCATACTGTTGATTAATTTCCGGATGGTTGCCCGTGGTATTGCCCGCCATTCCTCCTGAAGAGCTGCACCAAGCTGGGCCAGGTTGACGGATGCGTGGGTCCCTGGCGTACACCCTTCGACCGAGAATGTCCCATAGATGTTCAATTGGGGACAGGTCTGGGGACTTTGATGGCCAGTCCAATGTCGGTAAAATGAATCTGAGGCAAAACCTTGACTCATCTGAGAACATGGTTTAACGCCAATGGCGCAAAGCCCGTCCCTGATGCTGCCTAGCCCATGCCAATCTTTGGCGCCTATGGTGAGCTGTAAGGTTAACACCCTTGAACGGCCGCCTTGCTTTCAGACGTGCTTGATAGAGCCGGTTTTTAACGTTGAGTGTGAAATTCGCCGCCCAGTGAGTGTACGGAATTCCCTATTGATGGCAGGCGTTAATTTGAACCTATTGCGTACGGCCATTAATGTAATGAGCCGATCCTGTCATGGTGTCGTTGATTTTGGTCTACCGCCCAGGTCTCATTGCAACCCCACCCGTTTGACGGTACTTGTCCAACAGGCGTGAAACTACACTTTTTGATTTACCCAACATTCGGGCAACTTGACACAATGATGTCCCCCCCTCTATCATCCCCACAATTCTCCATTTTGTTTGTTCATTGAGATACTGCCTCGGGGGCATTTTTCAGCATATGTTCAACTCACTTACATTAGTGATTGTGAGTTCTCCAATACGTTTACAGAGGTTGACTTCTGTGTGCACGTGCATCACGTGTGTTTTATGCATCATGTGGAATTTCATTGTCATTGGATGTTGCGTTCGGGTGCAACGCTACGGTAACGCACCCTTTCACCTCTACGTTTGCTGCATTCAATTTCTTCATTCCCTTATTTTTTGTCGATAGTATATATATTTGTATTGGCCAAAAATGTAAATGTGCAAGATAATGCATTTAGATTGTTTTTTGCCCCACATACACTTCATAAATTGCCAAAAGTAAAATACTTTTAGTATTAAAAAGGATTACTTTGACTGGTGATTTTTATTTATTTATTTTTTCCTCCTGCCTGTAGTAGGTTTTTTAAGGACAAAAATCTGTAAAACAAGAAATAAAATTGGTCTGGTCTAAAGTAAAAATAAAACATCCTCCTTTGATGATGCTATATTGGCAATACTTGCAGCTTGCTGACATGCCTTGTCAGTTGACATCTGTATCAACTTGCACATATCCACATCAGATGAGATGGTATGTAGTTCACACACAAGCACTCAATACATAAAAGAGACAATTACTTTGTTCATTTCTTTTATTGTAAAAAGCACTAGAAACAGCTAAGTGTAAATTCATCTGAAGAACATAAAAACATGTGGCAAGGAGGACGGATTTATAACATGCTTGTTTTCCAGTAACCAACCTATCAAAGTACATTGGCTACCACATTGTGAACACATCTGTAACATGTTGGCCAAGAAACTTTTCATTGATAGAACATGCTACCTGAAAGTTCTTGGGGATACTTGTTTGTACTGTTAGAGGAAGAAACAGGTAACTGTTTCTCATCACATAATGGATATTGTGTTAATATCATGGCACTATTTTGGAACTGAACATAATGACAGGTAAATTCTGTAATGTGACACATGTCAGTATCAGTTCCTGGGAATGTTTCCTGGATAAGTGAGCATTCTACTATTAAGCACTAATTTTTCAATCCTTGTTAACAATAAGCACTACATCATGTCTGATGTTGCTGACAAGTGTTCTGGTAGACAGTGCTTTATAACAATGTAGCTGCAGTTCCTGCTGCTTCTAGCCAGCAACAATTGTCTGTGGTGACCTGCTGCCAGGACGATGTGTAGTTTCATATGTTGCTAGGACAACATCCACTCTCTGTCCAGGGAAATGGGGGCTCGACTTGCACTGAAACAAATATTCCAGATGTTAACAAACAGATCTGTGACCTGAATGAGGTGCTCTTTTATTGTATTGGTACTGATGACATAGATAACAAATGTCAATAAAAAAGTTCACTTCAGGTTATGAAAGCAGCTTCCATCAGGGAATAGAAGGCATTTATGGAAAATCTTTCCGATTACCTGTTCCGAACAGAAACTAACTCATGTACTGAAATGTCATATTCATTACGCCTTCAGAAATGACACCTAAAGATAACATTAATTGTATTGGCTGTGCCTGTATTGTCAGTATGTGAGTACCTTGTTTTCCTCAGCCGTACCCCTCCAGTCGTCTTCACAGCTGATATATAGCAGAGACTGGCAAACTCAATCAGCTGAAATAAGACACCACATGTTAGAATGTCTCTTGTGACAGGCTGTACACTTAGATCTGGCCTTACGGATGGATAAGTCTTCTACAAGGAGATGGACAAGTCGTCTAGACACAGACTATAATAAGAGGTCACAATTTGTTTTGCATGTTCATCCCTTAGCTGTTGTCGAAAGCAAACATGGTTGCTTCGAATCCCTGATTGTCTTTGTCAGTTGCATACTGGTGTTTTTTATTTCACAAACCAAATTGGTAAAGTTGCAATTCCGATGTATGGTGCTGATTTTAAAACACAATGTAATTATATAGTCTTGTAGTTCTTATACAAGCAATAAAATTGTTAAGAGGAACTGGACCCATGAAGATCCGGGGTAGAATAGGTGTTCTGAACCTACCTGGTTCTGTTTATCAGGGGGCAGCATCTTCGTGGTGGCCTGCTTTCTTCCTGCCATGAAGGCTGTGAGGATCTCCTCCAGTTGCTGCACCAACTCCTCCTCCATACTGGCACTCTGGGGAATCACAAGACAATGTCACACAAAACATATTTAACACTAACTTCACATTAGCCCTACAGACTGCCAAGTATCAATAGATAGGGTGATAGCTCTATTTTGTATTATTCTGTTTCCGTTAATCTTTGTATTTCTTTCAACAGGTCTATACCAATGCATATTAATATCAAATAATTAGTTCCTGATGACGTTTGAAGGAATTGTCAAAAACAGCCAGCTCATGACATTGCAAATGCATAAACAAAAATATCAAAAGTCACAGGCAAATCTAATTTCTTCAGGTTGAAGGTTGAATATGGAAATATTATCTGGACTCATTTATAATACAAATTAATGAATTTTGGAGAACTTTAAATCAATGAATAATGTATGGTAAGACACACCTGCATTGGCTGCCGTGCCCTTGATGTCCGTGAAGTCTCTTCAATGTATGATTTTCTCTCCTTTAGGCTCCTTCTGTGAGGGGTGACCTGCTGCTTCCCATGGGCTCTAAGTTTTGTTTTTGGAGTGTACGGCTTCCCCTTGACTATAGGTTTTGTTTTTGGAGTGTACGCCTTCCCATGGACTATAGGTTTTGTTTTTTGAGTGTATAGCTCTCCATTGGCTCTAGATTTCTGTTTGGGGGTGATCTGCTTCTCATTTGGAGTGCCTGGCTTCCCATGGAACACAGAGCTCTTGTATGGACTATCATGTTTTGATGTTTCGCTGAAATTTGGGTTGAAGCGTTTTTTCAGGGGAACATTTTTGTTTTCGTTGTAAAAAAGTTTTCCTTTAGCACTCTCAAAAGATGGTGATGCATGCGACACCAAATGTTCTGACTGAGGAAGATTCAGCTTGGCTGGAAGTACATCAGGCTTGGTATTTCCTTCCCCGATGTATGTCACAATATCCTCGTTGTGTGACTCTGACATGGCTGTCCGTAAGTCCCAGAACTCGCTGCCAAAACTGTCCTCTCCCTCCTCTGATTCATTCATCATAAAAATGTTAGCATTTCTTGTTCTTTCCTGTATGCCCTCTGGATCCCTACATGACCCTGGGTGTGCAACCGCTCGTGACAATAGGAGAGAGCATAAAGCTGGCGGAGACTGAGATAGAGGTAAGGTCATGAAGGGTTGCAGAAGTGACTTGGATTTGCTTGACGACCTCCAAGGTTGTAAGGAAGATGTGCTTCTTGTCTTGGACAATTCTTCAATTGACCTGTTGCTGAGTCTGTCCCTGTCTTTCACCTGTGGGACAGTCTTCTCATTAGATTTGATTACCTTCTGCACAGGAGCAGGTTCTGTTTCTGGCAGTTTCCTCCATGAATCTGTTCTTGTGTCTGGGGTCAGCTGGAAGGGTTTTACCTTCTTCAACATCTTTGGCTTTGGTGAGTGTGTCTTCAAAAAGGATGCCTTCCATGTTAGCAATGTTTGTGACTGATGTGTTTCTGGATTGTGACTGGATTTCAGAACACCTCTTTTGACGGACGTCTGTTGCGAGATTTCAGTCACTGGGGCTTTGTTTGGAGTGAAGCTACTTGCACAGAGAAAAGGTTTGCAGGTCAGGACAGAAGGTGGTGGAGTTGACGGCTGCATGGTCACCTCATCTGTTGTCTGCCTTGGAGGAAGAGTCACCCGTTCGTTCATGGGAATCTGTTTCGCAGTGTTGTCTGTTGGGTTATCTGTTCTGTTCTGATGGGTAAGTTGAAACTTAAAGCCTTTTTGTCTATGAGCGTGATATGCACATGTGTTCTTGCATGGTGAAGATCTCTGATTCAGACTAGCGATTTTCTGACCAGCAAGCTTGAAGAATGGCAGAATCCCAGTAGTAGGTGTCAATGGAGTTGAAGTAGATGCCGTGTGGTTAGATACTGGTGTCAGTGGGGCTGTATTGACAAGTGTGGCATGGTCTCCTTTGGATGTTGATGGTGGTGAGCTGACTGATGGTTCCAGGTCAGAATCCAGTGATGGACACAGGGATGAAATCCTGTTGGCTGGTGATGGTAGTGATGTCCTTGTTGCAACTTCTGGTGATAGTAGTGACGTGTCTGTTGCAGCTTGTTGTGACGTAAGCGATGTGTCTGTTGCAGCTTCTGGTGATGGTAGCGATGTGTCTGTTGCAGCTTCTGATGATGGTAGCGAGGTGTCTGTTGCAGCTTCTGATGATGGTAGCGAGGTGTCTGGTGCAGCTTCTGACGTAAGTGATGTGTCTGTTGCAGCTTCTGGTGATGGTAGCGAGGTGTCTGTTGCAGCTTCTGATGATGGTAGCGAGGTGTCTGTTGCAGCTTGTGACGTAAGTGATGTGTCAGTTGCAGCTTCTGGTGACGGTAGTGACGTGGCTGTTGCAGCTTCTGGAGACGGTGTCTGTGTCAGTTGCAGCTTCTGGTAGACGGTAGTGACGTGTCTGTTGCAGCTTCTGGTGACGGTAGTGACGTGTCTGTTGCAGCTTCTGGTGACGGTAGTGACGTGTCTGTTGCAGCTTCTGGTGACGGTAGTGACGTGTCTGTTGCAGCTTCTGGAGACGGTAGTGACGTGTCTGTTGCAGCTTCTGGTGACGGTAGTGACGTGTCTGTTGCAGCTTCTGGTGACGCGAGTGACGTGTCTGTTGCAGTTTCTGGTGACGGTAGTGACGTGTCTGTTGCAGCTTCTGGTGACGCAAGCGATGTGTCTGTTGCAGCTTCTGGTGAAGGTAGCGACACAATTATAGTCGGTCGTTGTGATGGTATTAACGTATGTTCTGTAGGCTCACATGAGATGTTCATGATTGCGTCTGTTGATGGTGATGCCAAGACAGAGAGTGAATCTGAAATTGTGGGGAAACATCATATTAATGGATTAATTTACAGATAACCTTTTGAATAGGGAAGACCTTCAAGTTTCTTGTTCTTCTTGGACTAATAAACCACCATAACTGAAGAATGTTCTAGATAATCACACATTTAGTGCCATATATATTGTTTTTTACAACAAAAGTACATCATAATTACAAAAGGAAAATTGAATTAAAAGATGGATTGATCATAATTCTATGTAATCAGATTTGGTCAACCATTTTGTACATAAAAAATATGCTTACAAATTATGAAAGGGAGGGGGGACTATAATTGATTTTGGACAATGCAGGGGTGGGTCACTTACTATGTACCTCACTTGGGGATGGGGTGGGGGGACATTCACATTGTACATGCTTGTCCAAAAACATCAATCATCACTCACCCTAGCAAAAAATTATGATCTGTCCCTTAATTCATATATCGGTCAGAACTTGACATCATGGAATATTATTTGTCCATTAACAACATAACAATGTTGAGTACCTTCAATGATGGACTCTCTGATCCCTTGAACTGTCCATACCAGGGCCAGCACCTGTTGCGTGATTACCTCCCTTTGTTCCAGCTCACATACACTGAGAACAGTGTGTATGTTTTGAAGACTGTTGTCCAGTGCCTCGTACTTGATGCAGTGTCTGTCTGTTTGGCCCTGAGAATAATAAAAATATGGTTATTAAGTTACAATTAATACTGCCTGAAATTTAATAGGCATTTGGTCACATTTAATTATTAAAAGCAAGTGCATTTCTCTATTGTCATTGAACTGGTTATATAGAGAACTACTATAAAACAATGTTCACCCTGATTGATTTTTGTTTCATAGTAACTCCTGATACATTGCTTTCCTGTCTCCTTTAGACCATTACAACATCCTCATTTCTGGAAAAAAAATCAATTTATTGAAATTTTATGGCTTTCGTTTGTGGGACATGTGAGTTAACACATGAAGTATTGCACAGAATCCCAATAGGCCATTGCGCAGGTCTTTACGATTGACAACCTTGCAAGACAGCTTCAAAAACTCGTAGTAGAAGATATATTTGCCAGTGTATTCATAGTCCATTTTGTTTTACGGAAAATTACATCAACGATAAAGTAAACGTATTCCCCATTCCACAGACTCGGTTAGACGATCACGATAAACAGAGTTCCGTGTCGATAGGAGATGGGTCCAACAGACAGCCGTACTTACTTTTCGTGGCATGGCTGCTCACTAGAAGGTAGTCAAAAATAGGCATTGGGTCTGAACACGAAAAAACCTTCCAAATATTGTATCTAATACTTGAGGGTATGTGTGAATTAATCAGTACGTATATCTACCTCGGAATGCAACTATGAATTTCCCAACACATTTGTCGTCTGAGAACACAGATGACTTGGGGATTACGCCAAGCACCGTCTGACGAGTTGACAGCGCGAAGTTAGGATCATGCATGTAAAGAAGGGTACACTCACGTCGATCCATGTTCCAATAAGGTCTTCACTTTTCTACAGATGTTGCAACTCTCACATGCGTGGGCCGTTTTGAACACACCACAGGTTCCCGCAAGTAGCTGGAACCGTGACCACGTGATCGGATGTTGACACTTGTCTGGTAGCCAATCACTGATTAGAATGGAAGGGGCGGGACTAATTAAGCCATTCCCACCGTCGAAAACGGTCAGTGTTATGGCTCTCTAAAATTCCTTGTGATCAACGAATTGTGACTTTCAGCTGCACCCGCACTTTTCAGTTTTCATATTTAGTGTAAACATATTTTATTCAAAATAAATTGAACTAGGATTGGTAAACAAGCCGTAATGGCTTATTTGAATAGGCTACTTCTCCATTTCATTGATACATGAATAAAACAAATATTTAAAAATATGCAGCATGATAGGAAAGCAAGCAACCTGCGTATTAAACATTATTAATCATTTATCAAACCTATGCGATTTTATTATAGTTATTATATATGTAGTATGAAAGAATTGACAAGTTCATTTTTGTTTGGATTTCCATTTAGGACAGAATTTAAATTATATCCATGTTCGTGAAAATACATGCGATGTCTGATGTTAGAATAATTAGGACAAGTAAAGAAGTAATGTAAAGTATCCTCATAGGGGTGACCACAGGAACAGCCTGTGACATATTTTATCATGGGAAACATTTGATGTTATAGTTTTAACGTTTCCATGGTCCACACTGCTGTATGATTATGTATACTTCAGAACTGAAGCATGCAAAATTATTTATTTAATTGTTTGTTTCAACACAACAGAAACATCATTAATCGCAATCGCAAACCATACACTATACCCTCCCCGACCCTTTCTCCCCACTAATGGAGTGCCAAGAGCGGTGAACCAGAGACGGGCGTGGGGTAAGAGTGAGAAAAGGCAATCATCGCTGGTCATGTGATGTGTTTATTCTCTAGCTAGCAACCTGTCAACACACATTCAACAAGGGTAAAGGGAACCGCCATTGACACGCCGTCTCCAATACCCAAGCTGCCTGCAACCCCATCTCTACCCCACAGGTGCTCAACGTTTCTCATGATTGGTCTGCCCGTGCCGCTTGACAGTGATGGGCAGAGGCCATTTAATTTGACGCGAAGTTTCACCTACAAACATTATACGATACACAATACTACACTGCATGTTGTGTAATACATATGTTCTTAGACGATAGTGGCAGTCTCCAAGCAAACAAAATAAATACCCCGTAGTTCAGTTCTCCATTCCACCTCTGACAAATTTCCATATTCAAATTTAATTATGTTATTTCAGGTTGTCTTATCGTTCGGTCAAATCACCCCTCTTTCGATCAAGCAAGTAATGGCCCGTGTGTGAAACACACATTATGTCGGAAAGCCCCAAATCATCATCACCATCATCATCATGATCATCCACCCCCTAGAACCACTGTCCTGCAGAGTGCAGTGATAGGGTGACTGTCCGCCTGCGTTTGCAGTGATGGCGTGCTTGTTTTGGCGGTGAATGTAAGTTCTCTGTTTAAAATCTAGTCACCATTTGTGAAAGACGAACCATATCAATAATATTTTCATTTTTTCAATATTTTTCATGTGGACAAATACTAAGTTTAATACCAAATGGTTTGATTTTACAGTATTTCTATGTGCAGACATTGTTAATGATACACATTTCCACATATATGTGAAGTCTTTGCTCAGTTGAATGCACGGTATTCATATAATCTGTCTAAATGTAATCGTGAAATGATCGGGGTCCAATGACTGTACACCCACTGTGCATGCTTGCAGTGATCGTATTTTGTTCTTGCAGTGATCGGTATAGTACAGTCGTTTCAAACATGAGCATGGACCTGTAGAAGAGAAGATGACTGGAACAGACCGTTTGGATCTAAGCTTTATTAGCATAGGATCAGAAATTGCTCCGTTTAAAGCACTTCAAGCGCAACTTACCGTGAAGATCCGGGTTAGAATTGGTCTTCAGTAACACATGCTTGTCGTAAGAGGCGACTAACGGGATCGGGTGGTCAGGCTCGCTGACTTGGTTGACACATGTCATCGAATCCCAATTGCGTAGATCGATACTTATGCTGTTGATCACTGGATTGTCTGGCCCAGACTCGATTATTTACAAACCGCCGCCATATAGCTGGAAAACTGCTGAGTACGGTGTCAAACAAGCCAATCAAACGCAACTTTTGATTCGGCTTCTCTGCCTTCATCAAGCACAACTTCTTATTGCAGTATTCGTACATACAGTACCAAACGTTCTTCATCCATGCAACGGCATATCAGGTGTCACAAAACATCATCTAAATGTGAGTTATATGACAGGGCGTACACCGACAAAGATAAACTCAAATCACACAAGCAAAAGCATGAACGGAAAACTTTACTTTGTGAAGTGTGCGAAAGTGTACTTGTCGCGCGATTCCCTTCGAGCCCATTTGAAAAAAGGCTCATACCAATTCTTGCACAGCAGGATTCATTTCACTTCGGTGATCATTGCGTAACATTTAAACATGGTGAGGGTACATAAGATTCATAGCGGCTTTCTGCAATACAAGGTTTTTTCTTCATTTACCTCCGAGTGATGTATTATGTGAGTAATACACTTGTTCTAATACACTTGTTCATCGTGCCACTGTACGTTTTACTGAAGTCATATTCACCTCGAATTGATTTGAAAAGGTTAATGTTCTGAATGAACCATTGTATGAACAATAAGGCAAAAGTATACACCCATGTTTGATGTCCAAAATGAAACAAACAAAATTTTATTCAGTACTGATGCATTGGATGTGCGTATCATTTTCCTCTTGTAGACAGTGAGTTTGCAGTGTTTCGGCGAATGTTTTCTGTCAGATAACGTGTTGATAATGTTTGTAATTTCTTGTAAGATTTTATTTTCAAGTGTTTACTTTCTTTGCCCAGTTATGTATTTGAAGCTCATTGTGGTACATGGATGTACACGCTTACCTCTGAACGTAAACCAGAGCTAGTTAGTTCGCATTTGTGTATACTTAGGGGTGTGTTTAGCCTTCCTTCAACACCGGTACTGGGGCGATAGGTAGCCTGGCGGTTACAGCGGTTACAGCGGTTCGCTCATCACGCCGAGGACAAGGGTTCGATTCCCCACATGGGTACAGCGTGTGGAGCCCATTTCTGGTGTACCCCGATTAGTTGGTCAACTACAAATATCTATGAGTGATCGGAAAAAAAAAGTAACAGGAAAAAAAGAAACGGAAAAAAGTAACAGTTTTTCAGTTGTTTGTTTTTCATTTATGAACAAAGTATAACAAAACAATTACAAGCACATGTTTTGCATCCATAAGCAATGTTCTCAGTTCTTATTGAGTCTAATGTTCTGGCCAACCCCAATCAGAATAGTTTACTTAACAAAGTTGTTTATCAAGTAAGCTGAGTAGGTGAGAAGGACAATCAAGGAAATTGGTCAGTAGACATGTGTTTTTACAGATGAATAGTTTAGTTTACTTAACAAAAGTGTTTATACTATCAAGTAAGCTGAGTAGGTGAGAAGTTGCTCAGTAAAAACAAGTAACAACAACAACAACGTAAATAAGACGATCAAAGCTCATCCTCATCCTAATTAAGTGTTTATATAAGTATTCATATAAAAACTGTTACTTTTTATCCTGTTACTTTTTTTCCGTTACTTTTTTTCCGTTACTTTTTTTCCTGTTACTTTTTTTCCTAATTCGTGTCGGGGGGTCTCATACCTATATATCAAAATATTTGGTATGCTTTACTAAATTCAGTCACAAAACTAAACACGTTTGACAAAGGAAATATAACCCGAAACTATATATATCTGTTTTCATTTTGCCGCAGTTTCCGTTTATACGGCGGCAAGTCTTTACAAACTCGGTAGTCATATCGACGGAGAATAAAAGCACAAGTGCTTCGTACAAAATGCTAAAATAGATGTACAAGTATCTGGCTTACTCCATGGGACGCAAAAATATCACATGAAATAAGAACAATCCAATTTGTCAAAAGTGCTTTGTTTGAGGGAGAAATATCTCATTAGCGATGTATTTGAACAGTGCCTTTAATATTCAGAAAGCTAACGAAGTCTGTGATATGATCAGCACGATGAAGTTCTTTCAGCACGTCGATGAAATTCTTTTTCACGGACACGCGTCAGACTTCCCATCAACATCCTCACAACTTTCACATTTGGTGATACGGATATCCCGCGTCACATTTGGTGATATATCCCGACTTGCTTCATCATATATCCCTGCCCCTGTGCTTCACATTTGGTGATATATCTGCCCCTCTGCTTCACATTTGGTGATATATCCCTGCCCCTCTGCTTCACATTTGGTGATATATCCCGGCCCCTCTGTTTCACATTTGGTGATATATCCCGGCCCTCTGCTTCACATTTTTGCACAGAGGACTCTGGTCTGAAAGTACTATATAGATCGAGATTTTATGTTTTTGCAGATGTGTAATGTCTTTTTTCGTACCCTCAAGTTCGCTTAGTACAATGTCATAAATACTGATTCTTTGTTTATATAAATGTTTTGGTCATTGTCTTTATTTTCAAATCTAAGTGTTTTTGCACACAGTGATTCACAACTGTAGAAAAGTCCTCCATATAAGGGCAATATCCACACCTGACCTTCTCATCCATATAAGGACAATATCCACACCTAACCTTCTCATCCATATAAGGGCAATATCCACACCTAACCTTCTCA